TTTTTTTTTTTTTTTTGAGTTGGAGTCTCCCTCTGTCACCCAGGCTGGAGTGCAGTAGCACACTGCTCACGGCCACTGCAGCCTCGACCTGCTGAGCTCAGGCGATCTTTCCATCTCAGCCTTCTAAGTAGCTGGAACTACAGGTGTGCACTACCACATCCAGCTAATTTTTTTATTTACTGTAGAGACGAAGTCTCACCAGGTTGCCCAGGCTGGTCTCAAACCTGAGGGCTAAGGCAGTCTTCTCGCCTTGGCCTTCCAAAGTGCTGGGATGATAGACGTGAGCCCCTGCACCCAGTGCTTTCTACATCTTAGCGACAGCTTCCATTAGCTGGAACATAGCAGCACACTCCTCGTTCTGTGTGGTCCTTGCTTTCCCCCATGGTCAGCACCTCCAGTTGTACTCCGTGCTTGAGGCTGAGGAGTCAGCTCTGGCCTGACTACTTTATTCCTGTCTTTATTTTAGTCATCAGTGAAGCTGACACGTTATATCACCAGCTTCAGCATTTAAAAAAATGAAAATATAGGGGAAAACTCAGGAAGGTATTCAAATAGCTGGACAAGCATTTCCTGAATAAAGCTGGCGGCATTGCTCACGCGGATCCATTGGCATGTGCCGCTGTTTTACAAAGAATATTTAGGCTGGGTGCGGTAGCTCAAGCACTTTGGGAGGCTGTGGTGAGGGAATTGCCTGAGCACACAGATTCGAGAACAACCTGGGCAACTTGGCGAGACCTCATCTCTACAATAAATCAAAAAATTAGCTGGGTGTGGTAGCTCACGCCTATCGTTCCAGCTACGTGGAAGACTGAGGCAGAAAGGTTGCCTGAGCCCAGCAGGTTGATGCTGGGGTGACTGTGAGCATGCCACTGCACTCCAGCCTGGGCAACGGAATGAGACTCCAGCTCAAATAAATAAATAAATAAATAGAACATTTATACATCTGCAGGTGCGCAAAGACAGGAAATGGGGGGGTTGTCATTGTAGTGTCCTATAACAGAGTTAAAAACCACCTGCCATCTAAAGCCACGGATCTGCTGGGAGCATTGGAAGGAAACAGCTCCTCTTACAGAAAGGTGAAGCAGCCTGAGGGGGACATGAGGCCCTTCCGTGCTGGACCCTGGCCTTGGCTGCTGCGGAGCCATCAGGTGACAGTGGCTCCAGGGGGAACCCTTGGTCCCTCCTGCCCAGCTCACCTGCCCTCCGCTGCTGAGCTCGCTTCCAGGCCCACTATGCCTGTGTCCTTCTCTCGTGGAAATAGAACTTAACTCCGTTAGCTTCCTCTTGGCCCTCTCCCACCATCTCTTCACCCTCAATGGGAGGCGCCCAGAAGGCAGCCTGTGTGCGAAGTCGGGCTCTTGACCCCCCCACCAAGAGCTGAGATCTGTGTGAGTGATTTCGCCTAGAAAGCCAGATTTCTTCTATTCAGAGCTGATGAGTCTGGCAGTGGTGACATTAGTCAGTGGCGACAGCTTCAGCCGGGGCATGCACACTCGTCTGCCCAGTTCTCACCAAGCCCCTGTAGGGACCAGAGAGACTGGTGCTTCTGGGGAATCTGCGGAGCTCTTTGAACAGTCTTTTTCAAACTTTGTTTTGCTAGTGACCAGAGTAAGAAATGCATTTGTTTACATCCTTACCTAGAACATGCCCACATATTTATAAAATTATATAAATGAAATCACAGGGTATGGTGGCTCATACTTGGAAGCTCAACACTTTGGGAGGCTGAGGCAGGAGAATTGCTTGAACCCCGGAGTTCAAAACCAGCCTGGGCAACCCAGTGAGACCTTGTCTCTACAAAAAATTAGCCAGGCTTGTGGCAGGCGCCTGTAGTCCCAGCTACTCAGGAGGCTGCAGTGAGCCATACTCATGCCACTGCACTTCAGACTGGGCAACATAGTGAGGTCCCAACTCAGAAATTTTAAAAAAGAAACAAAGCTTTTCTTGTGGCTTTTCTAGACCTTTCTGTACGTCACTAACAACCAAACTTGAAAGCATAGTCTGTGGTCCCCCTCTGTATCCTCATCTGCTGTTTGTTGTTCAAGCTCAAGTGCCACCACCTCCGTCTTTCAACTTCTCCTGCAACACCCCAGACATACACCGAATTCTGTCCCTCTCCAGACAGATTCGTCCCCTTCCCCTTGGTGCTCCCAGCACATCCTGACTGTGTCAACACTTGAAACACGGGAAGTTGCTACACTAGAGGGTCTTTGGTAGGAATTCCATCTAACTTATCTTTGAATCCCAAATACCTGGTATTGTGCCGTCAGAGACATAGTAGTAAATTCATAAATAATGGGCGAAGTTGCAAGAGTTAAAATATCTTTTTTTAAAAAAGTAAGTTATACTGAACAGAGTATATGAAATGAAAATATAGGGGAAAACTCAGGAAGGTGTTCAAATAGCTGGACAAGCATTTCCTGAACAAAGCTGGTAGCATTTAGACTTTCAGTAATAGTAGTTATTTTGACATTATTTTTAAGGTTGGTGAAGTATGAAATGTGCCATTTTTTCCCAAATAAGTTTCAGGAATTTATCTTTTAGTTGCTACAAATATTTATTTTAAATTATATTTATAGTTTTTTTCTATCAAAGGCTACAAGTAATAAAATTGGTGCTTTCCATTTCTCCTATGATTTTAAAATAGATTAATTAATTTTTAAACATGTATTTAACAGAATCATTCCGTGCACCAACATTTTCATATGGACCAGATGGAAATGGTTTCTCTCTTGGATGCAGTAAAAATTGGAGACAAGTCTTTGGTGATGAGAAGAAATACTGGTTACTTCCAGTGTTTTCAAGGTAATTTACAAAATGCAAGTCTCCGAGATCATGGAAACTGTGCTAGTCTCTGCCTCTCTGGTTAGGTGCCTCAACATTTAGAGAGTACAATGCATAACTACGTTCTTACTCCTTAAGAATGAAAACTCAGAATGTCTTGATCATATATTACAGATTCTATTTTTTCATTTTTTGATTAGTGTATATGAGAGTTTGAACATATATTTAAACGAAAAGTAGAAAAAGATGATTCATAAACACTGAGAATCATTTTTTTCCTTCAAAATGAAAGTAAGTTGTTTGAAGTAAAGAATCCTAAGAATTTATAATTATTAGTCATAGCTTCAAAGAGCCCATCAGAGGAGTGAATTATGAATTCTGTTGTGTCTTAAAGAAGACCAAACGTAGTGTAAATTTTACCAAACATTTTTTTCCTTCAAAATGAAAGTAAGTTGTTTGAAGTAAAGAATCCTAAGAATTTATACTTATTAGCCATAGCTTCAAAGAACCCATCACAGGAGTGAATTATGAATTCTATTGTGTCTTAAAGAAGACCAAACGTGTAGTGTAAATTTTACCAAACATTTGATTCTTTACTTCAAACAACTTACTTTCATTTTGAAGGAAAAAATGTAAATGAGATTATATTCTTGTGGTGATTCTAATGTCCATCCACTTTAGACCATCTGTATACCAAAGTCATCATAGAGAAGGAAAAATTTGAAAGTCAGTAACATTTGTAAGAGTTGTGGGGTTTTTCTTTAATTCAGTGAATTGCTTATTTTTTGCCTGAAAATAACTTATTTTGCCTTCATCTTGAAGGACATTTTTGCTTGGTATAACATTCTTAACATTGCTTCAGCTGTCTTTTGTCTATATAATACGTATTTCTTCTGTGGGTACTTTTAAGACTTTCTGTTTATCACTGCTTTCACAGTTTGATTGCCATAAAGACCATGGTCTAGATTTCTCATTGCTTGTGCTTGGGGTTGGTTGAACTTCTTGCATCTGTAACTTTCATCAAATTTGGAAAAAACTAGTAAGATTATTCTGTCATCTCCCTTCCCTGTGACTGCAAGAACTCCAGGTTCACAAGCAACTGTCCACTCTAAGTCCATAGCCAGTGACACACGGTTCACTTCTTACTCAACCTTTGTTCTGTTTTGGGCTGTGTATCTCCTGTTGCTGTCTTCAGGTTCACCCACCTCTTTGTTGTGCTCTGTCCATTGTCTCATATATTCAGGGTTTTCCATTCCCACTGGTCGAAACAGACTGTTTTGAGGCTTTTCTCTCTAATCAGAATTCAAAGTTGACAGGTTTTTTGCTTGTTTGCTTTCCTTTCTTCAATGATCTCCACTGTTTTCTGGTTTGCATTGTTTCTAACAAGAAGTCAGCCTCCTTCTTATCTTTATTCCACTGTTTGTAAATTATTATGTCTTTTTCCCTTAACTACTTCAAGATTTTGTGTTTGTCAGCTTAAGCAGTTTGGTGATGACATTTCCTGGTGTTTTGCCTACCTGGGAGGTCATTGGGTATCTTGATGCTATTATTTTATAGTTTTAATCAGTTCTGAATTTGCAGTCTCAACTTCCTGGTTTCAGGTGATCCTTCTGCCTCAGCCTCACAAGTAGCTGAGACTACAGCCCTGCCCATCACACCCAGCTAGTTTTTTTATTTTTTAGAGATGAGATCTCACAGTGTTGCCTGGGCTGGTCCTGAACTCCTGTGCACAAGCAGTCTTCTCCTTTGGCCTCCCAAAGTGCTGGGATTACAGGCGTGAGACACCACACCTGGCCATATCTGAATAATTTTTAACAATGACATCTTCGGTTGTTTTTCTGCCTATTTACCTCCTCCTGGCCCCTACCCCCAGCCCCCATCTTTCCTGGCACTCTCAGGTATGGCATATTGAGCTGCTTGGCAGTGACACCACTGTTCTGTCCTCTCCCCTCCCCCACCTTCTTTTCTCTCTTTGCTTCATTTTGGTTAGTTTCTGCTGCTGTGTCTGCAAGTTCACTGGGCTCTTCTGCAGTGTCTAGCCTGCTGGTAAACCCATCTGGTGGCTGTTTCATTGTTGGGTTTTTCACTTTTGAAAGTTCCATTTTTACATACATACCTTATATTTCTCTTTTTGTTATATCCATTTTTCCTTTTAGTTCATGAACATAGTTATTTATTTATTTATTATTTATTTATTTTTGTGTATGTATGTCGGAGTCTCATTCTGTCACCCAGGCTGGAGTGCAGTGGCACGCTCACGGCCACCACAGCCTTGACCTGCTGGGCTCAAGCAATCCTTCCACCTCAGCCTTCCAAGTAGCTGGAACTACAGGCATGTGCCACCATACCCGGCTAATTTTTCTTGATTTATTGTAGAGATGAGGTCTCACCAAGCTACCCAGACTGATCTCGAACCTGTAGACTCAGGCGTTCCTCTTACCTTGGCCTCCCAAAGTGCTGGGATTATAGGTGTGAGCCACGGCACCCAGCAAATCATAAACATATTTAAAATCACTATTTTAAAGTCTCGTTTGCTAATTTTCACTGAAGTTGCTAATTTTCTCATACTTTTATGTTGACTTTTCTTTCTTGGCTATGGATCACATTTTTTGCTACTTGTTATGTCTAGTCATTTTTGATGGGATGGCAGACATGCTGAATGCTACTTTGCTGAGTATCTAGGTTTTATTGTTTCCCCTTAAAAGATTGCTCATTAGCGAGACCTCATCTCTACAATAAATCAAAAAATCAGCCGGGCTTGGTAGCGCATGCCTGTAATTCCGGCTACTGGGAAGGCTGAGGCGGAAGGATCGCCGGAGCCCAGCAGGTCGAGGCTGCGGTGACCGGGAGCGGCCACTGCACTCCAGTCTGGGCGACAGAGTGAGACTCCAACTCAAAAATAAAAATAAAAAAAATAAAAGATTGCTCATTGTGTTTTGGGAGTCAGTTACATTACTTATGCTTCAGTCTCGTCTTTTTTTAGGCTTATTAGGTTGAGTTCAGAGGAGCATTTTCTCTAGAGTAAGGCTAGCCTTGCTGTCAGTCAGTGTCTGCCAAGTCCTTTGTGCAGTGGGACTGCTCTGCTCTGCATGCCCCCAATGTTGAGGGGAGCTCTGTGGGTGGTTCAGCTCACACTGCCCAGTGGTTCTCTTCTGGGTTCACAGTAGTGTTCGTGGAAGACCCAAGTGCCGCTCCTGTGGGTTTCTCTCACCACTGCTCTGCATGCTTTGCTCTCTCTCGGCTAGGTCCCATTGCCTCAGGCCACTGGAGCTTCCTAACCCTTCAGCTCTGGCACTTGTTTTGGGGAGTCGGCCATGCTCTGCTTGGTTTCCCTCCTGGTACCAAGGCCTGGAAGAAAGCTGAGACTGGCTGGCTTTTGTTTTTCCCCCAAAATCACAGTTCTATGGTGCCTATTTTAAGAAGTTATTTTATACTATTCTGTTTCTGACTAATGGTGGCCATCAGGTTTACAGTTTTTCCATCTTGACTGGAAGTAAAGTTCCTGTTGTGATGCATGGGTTTGGATTTATGACAGGCTCGTCCCCCTGGGCTTCTCATTGTACCCCATGCCAGAGCAAACGGTGTCCTCGAACCATTGCTTGGCCTCTGTGCCCATAAGCTGCTGGCACTCAAGAGGGCTACACAGTGGAAGAAAAGGAAGAAAAAAAGGAGGTCCCTGTTGTATATAGCTTAGAATATGAAAGTGAGGCACAACTGAGCCTCTTCTGGACCCTGAGCATCTCGAAGGAAAAGGTTTTCTTCTCTTCACTGCTGTGTCCCTAGTACCCGGAACATCCGAGGCGTTCAGTAAATATGTGTTGAATGAATGTTGTTGAATGAGTACATATGTGGACCTTACATTGTGAATTTCAGTTTGAGCCTGAATGATACCACAGATGATAGTGGTAAGCAGGGCAGTTACCCAGATGTTCGAATGCCTGTGTCCGAGGTGCCGTATGAGGCACTGTGATCTTCACAGGCTGAAAGACTTGTTTCTGAATGTCCGTAAGTTATACAGGAAAGGGCTTATGTCTTCAGTGGTGATAATAACCTCCTAGATTATAAATCTTAGGAATTATCCCCTGAAGTGACAGTGTCTCTGAAAACCAGGTGTTAAATTTGACCACGTTGACTTAACTTAAAATGATGTGAATTATGACTGATGTTTTCGTTGCACAGCTTAGGTGATGGCTGCAGCTTTCCAACTCGCCTTGTGGGGATGGATCCAGAGCAAGCTTCTGCTACAAGCCAAAATGAGTTTGCCAGAAGGTGTGCTTTTGTGGTCACGCTTTCCAGATTCTCTGTAAAGCGAACTGTGTGCATGTGTGGAGAGTGCATGTCCTGTGGATAAGCATGTGTAATTCAGTAAAGCGGCACAGATGGGGAAAGAGAACTTCTATGGAGGCTTTTTAAAACTGAGGGTTAGTGTGTGTATGTGCTGACATGCTTAGGTTAACCATATTTTTGTAATTATTCAAACCAGAACACTAGACAGTAGGAGAGAGAATGCTGGCTTGATAGTTAAACCTGGATAATCACTTAAAACTAGAAATGTCTGGGCAAAGGAGGCGGCAACTCAGATAGTCTCTCAAGATATTGGTTTATGTCAGTTATATTTTTTCAGGGAAATTGGCCATTTTAATAATCATTTTATTTTGATAAACTTTCATTACAGTGTCAGATAATAATGAAGATTCAAAAATACAAATTTTTTTCATTAATTTTTCTTAAAGGAAGTTTTCTCATAATATTTTGCATGGCAAGAAAACTGTTTCATAAATTCAGTGAAATAGTTCATTTTAGATGAAATTTTAAAGAAGCTGGAGATGCTTCTGGCTAAATTAACAGTCAGGCATGTGTGTTATGGAAATAAATCATAGGGATGAGAGATTGCCAGTTCCAAGCTGACCTGTTAATACTGAAGGAACATAGGCCTGAGGAGCCTTCGAGCGCTAACACTCCTTTGGTTCTGAACAAGTCACTTGAACATGAGTCTCAGTTTCCAGCTCTGTAAAATGAGGGTGACAAGATCTAACCCCCAAAGTCACTGTGAGGGTTGAGGCATTTGTCCGGTGCACCAGTGCCTGACCCAGGGCCCAGCAGGTCTTAGATCCCTGTTCCTCCTTCCTCCCTGCCTCTATTCCCTCCCTTCCCAGCTCTCCTAGCTAGATAAATAAGTCTACACTAAATCACTGAATCATTTTTTCCCCTTAGATCTAAACTGCAGAGGTAGAAAGCAGAAAACTTGGGAAATGACAGGTAATTTGTTCGTGCTGGCCACAGGCATAGACCCTCACCTGTCCTGTCCTCCTATGGCTCCTGATTAACACGTTAAAGCCCTTCAGCCAGCCTCAGAAGCATTTCCTTTGCCTTGCTGCTTTCACCGGCAGTGCTAGAGTACAGGCTCTGGGGTCTAGAGAGCCATTAATGGGGGTTGTGGGCCTGTTCTAATTTGGAAGAAAGTGTTTTCAGAGTGCTAAGATCTCCTGAGCTGCCCTCACATGAGTAGGAGAAGGATACTAATTTGCTTATTAATTGAATAAGTATCTTTAACTGACCATTCAACTGTTTACTATGTTATTTGCTCTTTTTTTTCAGTATTAGCTCAAATCAGCCTTTTCCTATCAAACCACTTAGTGAATCAAAAAACCGCTTGTTGGACAGTGACTCTCAGTGGCTAGACAATGGAGCTGAAGAGGGCATCGTCAGATCAGGTAATGGCTGTCAGTCTGAGGAACTGCTTTGTCTGGTTCAAATGAAATTCACCACATTTAACGAATATGGAAAAATTAAAATAATGTGGTACTTAAAAATAGATACATGAAATTAAAATGCAGTGTTATCTCTGGGGTGTTTGTGATTCCTGATAGCTTCTAGGGGGAAGGGGCAGAGTGAGGAGAGTATGGTGGCCGACATTGTGTCTTGTTCTGTTGAGCTGTGAGCTTTTTGTGACCCAACCGTGCCTTTCTTCACTCAGATGTGGAAGTTTTTTTTTGTCATTGGCTATTCTGAGTAACCTTTTAAGCAGTGTTGTTCTTTAGGATCCCAGCTTTTGCTTAACTGAAAATAATTATTGAAAAGATCGTGCTGGGCACGGTGGCTCATACCTGACATCCCAACACTTTGGGAGGCAGAGGCGAGAGGATTGCCTGAGCCCAGAGGTTCCAGACCAGCCTGGGCAACTTGGCGAGGCTTCATCTCTGCAATAAATCAAAAAATTAGCCGGGCATGGTGGCACACTCCTGTAGTTCCAGCTACTTGGAAGGCTGAGGTGAAAAGAGCATGCCACTGCCCTCCAGCCTGGGCGAAAGAGTGAGACTCTAACACAGAGTGCACTGGAGATATTTTAACCTTTTCTAGTTGACTCTTAATCATTTTATGATTTGTGGGTGCAGTACAGAACAATCGATATAACTGAAGTAAAGGTTCTAATCAGACCTGAACTTGCCATATTGTCTGGCCACTTAGCTAGTATTGCGGCCTGTGTCTGAAGTCGTTCTTAGTGATCATAGTAATAATACTGTCACTGTCTTCTTGCACTGGAGAAAGAGGGTTTGGGACACTCAGATCCAGTTGCTGAAACTGTAGGAAATACCCTAAAAACTTGCTGTTAGGACTTTTTTTCTTCGGGACTTCTAGCAAAATGGAAGGCTTTCTCTTAAATTAGTATCATTACAGTCTCTGTTAGGGCCATTGCACTTCCTGTGTGAATCGCCCAGGAGCACGAGTCAAATCTGGGCAACACAGCAAGATTCTGGCTGTTTAAAAAGGATCAAGGGAGAAGTTTGTGTTGTGGACTTCTTAATCCTTGCTGCTTAACATCTTTAAAGCCAGTGGGTATTTTCACAAGGATAAGCATAAAAGCAGACTTCAGGTCTTGACAATCTTTACTTCTGGGTTCCACAAGAAGAAAAGTGGGTCCCATTTGCTTATTTAGTGCATACATGACAACTAGTTGTGTTTACTGTGATCAATTTCATCATTTAGCCAGAAACGTAAAGTAACACTTTTTTTGGTCATGTCATGTATAATTATGTGCTTACAGGGACAAATAACCATGTTACAGTGGCAATAGAAAATTGAGTACCACTTGCTCATAACTAACCATTTGAGTAAGAACAAGGTAAGAAAATATAAAGGTAATTTCCTTGAACACATTCAGTTTATTTGCATATTTCATGATCTCAACACAATTTGCAATTCTTTTTTCTGGTTTTGCTTGAGCTTTTTCAATTATATCAGCAAAGCAGTGTAGAAGGGACTAGAAGATAACATCTGCCAAAATCTCACTTTTCTTACCACTTCTAGCACAATCTTAGTAAACTTTTGTAAATTAATGAAGAAACTAATAAAAATAGGACTGATATGTAGACAACTGTCCCTTTTAGTTAATGGTACCTTATTAAAAAAAGAAAGGTGATTCTGCCCACTGTTGACTAAATCTGACCCACAGAAGAGTGACTGAGATTAAAAGCTGCAGAAAAGGCATGAAGGCTCACTGATGCTGCTTGCATTGTGAAAGACGCAGCCACAGCGCACTGCTGTGTGAGAAGTCACACACTCGCGCGGCCTAGGACAGCACCCACCAGGCATTCCCATAAGTGCATGGCAGGGCGCACGCCTCCGAGGGAGCCTGCTGCACTGCCATCCAGGGCAGCTGCTCCTACCCACAGCTCGTCCATGGGCAGCTGTGTCCCGGGTACCTGTGTCCAGGGTTTCGGGACCACAATCCCAGGCACTGGGGTAGCGGCCCATTAGGCGGGTGGCCTCTGTGATGAGGACTGCAGGGCTACATGTGGTGACTGTGGGCCAGGTCCTTGCCCCCAGAGCTAGAGCTAGCTTCTCGGTGTAGCAGGTAGTGCCTGGTGCTGGCCGCAGGAACTTGCCCATATCCTGCACCAGGCTTAGAGCAGGGGCAGCTGGGCAAGATGTCGATTCAAGTGGTGTCTGGGCTAGTGGTCAGGGGACTACTGTCAGGCTCCCCCTCCACCTACTTTCTGGGTGCTTCAAGGGAAGCAAGTCAGTGGTACCCCTCACTCACTGCTTACAGAAATCTTTATTCTTATAGTAGTAATGTTATCAAGTTCCATCTTGTTATATTAGCAGCTTTATACCTTAGCCCACAGAACCATTTTAAGAAATATTTTCAGAAATAAAAAATCAAGTTTTAACCAATGATTCCATTTTTTCTGTTTTTTATAGGTATATGAAAACACATTATGGACTGTTATTTTCAATTTCATTTGCAAACAGATTATTCAATGGAATGAAACAAATGAAGTATAACAGAAGGTATATTTTTTTAAAAGGAAGCCTTGGTCCAGGTCGCTGGACCCATGAAGCACTACTCCAGAGCGGGAGGATGCCTTAATCTTGTGTCCATGTGTGCAGCACTGACTCAAGCTACAGAAGTCACTCAGTTTGACTCTGGAAATAACCATGTTGCAAGATGTTATAATATGAGCTGTCATACTTTAACATGCGTATCTATTTTTTTGATACCTGAGTTACATCATTGAGTTGTTTCTTAGTATCCATCAAACTTTCACTCAGAAACTTGTATTAAGTCAAGTACGTCTCGGGCAGATGGCTGCAGAATACCCAGATCACTGTTGCTTGTACTGTATAAGGAAAAGAAACTGCTTTTTTTAAATTGGGTATTTGCTAGTTTATAATTACTGTTTTCTACTTTTCAACATTTTTAATAAAATTTTTTTACTGGTGGCTTTAACACTCAGAGGGATTCATATATCTAGATGAAGTCATTCAGAATATAGAACACACTGGTGTAATCAGGTGAAGGCTCAGCTGTGGGCATGGCCACAACTGTGTTGTGTGCCCAAGGCTGGATGGAAACTTGGCACTCTAAGAAGGATTTGCAGTTCCTACTCCTTTTCAGTAACATCCGTTTGAACTTTTGGGGTACATATATAGCCAGGGAAGCAAGGGTGCATGTGCTACAGGATATGGGGCCTGGAGGAAGGGGTAGAGGGGCTGGAGAGAAGCCGAGAGAGGCAGGGCCTTTGTGAGTGGTGAGAGGCCTTTGAGCACCGGGGAGTTAGAACTAAACATGCTGTTGAGTTGGCTTTTCCGTCTTAATTTGAGTGACAACGCAAAGCTACTTTGAAACTTTTGACAGTAATCCTGTAACAGCTTAAACAGCAACTCAAAATGCAATTCAAACTAGGCAAAAAGTTGTTTGGAATAATATGGTTCTCAGGAAGACAGTCTAAGCCTAGTGGTAGCTCTTGGATACAGAATCTTAATCTGACTTTCTGACAGAGGCTCTTTCTGCTAGACACAATCCTCTTTTTTTTTTATTGGAATCTCACTGTCGTCCAGGCTGGAGTGCAATGCCACTCTCACGGCCACTGCAGCCTCAACCCACTGGGTTCATGTGATCCTTCTGCCTCAGCCTTCCAAGTAACTGGAACCACAGGTGCGTGCCAGCACGCCCAGCTAATTTTTGATTTATTGTGTAGATGAGGTCTTGCCAAACTGCCCAGGCTAGTCTAGAACCCCTGGGCTCAGGCAATCCTCTCGCCTCCACTTCCCAAAGTGCTGGGCTTACAGGCGTGAGTCACTGTGCCCAACTATGTTTCTCCTTTTAAAATGTCATCCAAGTGACAGGAATTGTTACATTAATTCTAAAGAAAAGCACAGAATCCTATAAATGATAAACAATACAGAAATGTCACTCCTCACTTATACTGTTTGGTCAACCTCTCCCCCACCCCCGAAATGACGGGTGGCTTCCACTATGCCGGCAGAGGTGAGTCTCATCAGCATCTGTGACTGTCTCAGATTACGGCTTTCATGTCAGAAATGGAATTGAGGGAGGCTTGTGAATCAGCTGGACTGGAGGACTTGACATGCTACGGTGCCTAATTTTGCAAAACAACTTACTTTTCATTTAGCCAACATTTTTGGAGCATGTTCTCTATGCTGAGCAATACATGAGGGACAGGCTCTCTTTCCCTACTGCAGCACAGATTCTGCAGTTGCTGTTGTGGGCTTACAGTTTGTAAGATGTGTCCAAGTTCCACTGGCTTTACTAATTCTGGATTTTAAAAAGAAGGAACTTTTTCCCTTTGAACCAAAGGAACGAGTCGGCTTTGAAAACATAATATGAATCTTTCTACCTTTGCTTCAACTCCTTGGTCCTTTTCTTTTTTTTTTTTGAGTTGGAGTCTCACCCTGTTGCCCAGGCTGGAGTGCAGTAGCACGCTCATGACCACCACAGCTTCGACCTCTGGGCTCAGGCGATTCTTCTGCCTCAGCCTTCCAAGTAGTTGGAACTACAAGGGTGCGCCACCATGCCCAGCTAATTTTTGATTTGTAGAGATGAGGTCTCGCCAAGTGTCCAGGCTGGTCTCAAACCCCTGAGCTCAGGCATTCCTTTCACCTCCGCCTCCCAAAGTGCTGGGATTACAGGCCTGATTGAGCCACCACACCCAGCAACTCCTCAGTCTTAATAATTTTTATTCTAGCAGACTAGAATGGGAGTTAAGAAATATCAATTACCAACCAAAAACATAACTTCAGTTTGGTGGTTTGCATATTGTAAGGAAAGAGTAAACGGTTAAACATATGGGACTTTCAGAAGTGTTTTGGTACTTTTTGTATTTCTACATTTGGCTCAAAAGATTTGCATGTACCTGGCTAACAACTGAGGAATCAGAAGTTTTCCTTAACCTATTCAGGCACTTCAGTGGTATTGTAATCTTTCTTAATTCTTTTAATTTCTGTTATAAAACATCATCTTTATAATTGCACAACAAATACCTTTTCAGGAGTTTTCAGTTGAAGTCTTTTAGTTATCTTTAATTTACAGCCAAAAATTTGCCACATTCTAAATATTTAACTGAATTTTTTCATATGTATTAATGACCATTCAACAAGGGCCTACAAGTGACTGGGAATGGAGAAAGGCTGCTGCTTTGGTATTTCAACTGGTATTGCTGTCAACTGTTTGGGGAAGAAAAAGTAAAAATGAAGCCCTGTCAAAATGTATAAGCATTATCTTTGGTCCTTCAAACACTTGAAAATTTGAGATAATATTTAAGGAAAATGAAGTTGAGTTTCAGGTCTTGCCATTGCCATTAAAAACCAATTAGACAGGAGACTTGGTTTACCTGGATACAAATTTACTTGAATATTCAGTACCTGAGACTATACCAAACCAAAGAGCAGCTGCAGTATATTAGTTATTAAAAATGAACACGTTTACAATAGTTTCAACTTGACAAAAAGGGTATTTTAAAAACTTTTTACATATTTACTGGTTATGATCCAATGTGTCATAAGTGAGTAAAACTGTAAGGTTGGTTTAAATCAAATATGCAATGTTTACTTGAATTTTATTTTTATTAGTGAGCAGATTTGAACTATGTTTACAGGATTGTTTAGGATGATCAGACATGTAAGGTCTTCATTCAGTTATCTTTAAAGCAGTGTATTTTAAGGGCTTAGTGTTTGGATCTGCATATTTGGGGAACCGAATAGGCTAACTTACAACTACGTTTTGCTTACACTTGTTCTTGGCTAGCATTACTATCAATGGCAAGTATTTTTAACTAATCTGTTAGTAAGATTAACCATATTTTTGGATTGCAGCCAAAATAAAGATCATATCTAATCTATTAGGTACAGATAATATATAAATCTGAAATCCATGTTTCATATGACCTAAAACTGTATTTTCCAATTTAAATTAAAAATGTAATAATATAGATTCAGAAAGGTCCATATTTTTCTAATGACTTCATTCTATATTTTGTTGGGTTGTATAAAGAAGGACTTGTATTTGTATTAAAAGATTAAGAAAGCTATTAGCCAAGTTTATTATATTTGTACATGATTGCAAATGAGTCTGTGCCCATTTAAAAAATGGACACTCTTTTCAAGTGATCTTTAATATGCTTTTATATAAACAAATCTGAAGTACGGTTTCCTTTGGTTGTCTTTCCTTAACAAGTGCCATAAAGCCCTGTGTTTGTTCTCATTTGTATAATCCTAGACCATGACCTGATGCTGACTCTTGCTCTGTCTTTTGAGTGGCCTAACCTACATTAACATGTGCACAAAACATTTTTAAACATTTTTTTCAAAAATCATAATGAATTACTTTATTAATAAACAAATAAACAAAGTCTTGTATTTGATGTTTTGTTGATGTTCTGAAGTGGTATATACCAAATGAGAGAATTGTTAAATATTAACTTGAAAATCTGGTAAAATAGTGTTTAGTTAGAAAGACTACGAATTTGGGGAAACAGGCTGGGGGTGGTGGTTCATGCCTCTAATTTCAGTGCTTTGGGAGGCTGAGGTTAGAGGATCACATCAGGCCAGGAGTTGGAGACCAGCCAGTACCACAGTGAGACTGTTGCTACAAAAAAGCAATCCAGAAAGCATTTTAGGCTTGGCATGATGGCTCATAACTGTAATCCCAGCCCTTTGGGAGACTGAGGTGGGAGGATCACTTAAGTAAGGCCAGGAGTTCAAGACCAGCCTGGGTAACAAAGTGAGATACCCGTCTCTACAAAAAATAAAAACTAGCAGATCTTGGTGGCACCAGCTACTCAGGAGGCTGAGGTGGGAGGACTGCTTGTGCCAAGGAGTTTAAGGTTGCAGTGAGCTGTGATTGTGCCACTGGGCAAGACACCAACTCAAAAAAAAAAAAAATTCAGATGCAGTAGGAATAGCAAGAGAATTAGAAGTAGAGCCTGAAGATGTGAATGAACTACTGTAATCTCATCATAAAACCTGAACAGAGGAAGAGCTTCCTATAGAGCAAAGAAATGGTTTGTTTGTTTTTTTTAGATGGAATCTACTCCTGGTAAGGGTGTTGAAATTACAACATAGGATTTAGAATATCCTGTATGTTTAGGTGATCAAGCAGTAGATATGAGGATGCTCTGCTCTGGGTAAGATGCATTCAGACACCACCATGTGCTACAGAGAAATCTTTTGTGAAAGGCAGTCACTCAATGCAGCAGATACTTCACTGCTGTCTTATTTTAAGAAACTGCCACCGCCACCTGGCCTTCAACAACTGACTGATCAGTACCATAGACACCTAGGCCAGACCCTCCATCAGCAAAAGGATCAGGACTTACTAAAGGCTCAGGCGATTGTTAGCATTTTTTAGCCGTAAAGTATTATTTGCGAGTGTTTAAAATTTTTTTTCAGACAGGGTCTCTCTCACCCAAGCTGCTGGAATGCAGCAGCACAATCACCGCTCACTGCAGCCTCAAACTCCTGGGCTCAAGCGATCCTCCTACCTCAGCCTCTGAGTAGCTGGTATTTCAGCATCATACAGCTTTTCATCTATCTGCCATGGAAGCATTTCAACAACTCCCCATGACTTACACAATAGCCAAGCCTCTAGCTGTATCATCTAAGAAGGCTCAGGTTCTGGCTCCTGCCTACTTCAGCCTCTTTGTGTGTCTTTCGGTGTCAAGACCCTGTCTTGGGACAATACTAAACACTGTCAGTTTCCTCAGAAATCATGAGGTTCTCTACTTGAAATTCCTGTCCCATTTGCTTGCCAGGCAAACTAAGAATCTGCTCAAGGATCTGCTCTTCTGAAGCTGCTCCTGACTGCTCAGACAAGGTTGAGAAAAGGTCCTTTCCTTGGACTCAACAGCAGGACAAGAGCCTCAGGTGCTACACTAGACATGTGCCAGGCGGTGATACATTTTACTCCATATGTGATTATGAGCTCTGAGTGGCCATGACCAAAAAAAGACTTACAATTTGATGGCAGCTGTTAACAGTTCTAGAGTTTCAAGAACAAAATTCAAATGTTTCAATAGCATTGCCTTGACCAGAAAGTGACTAAAAAACAATATTTATAGCACTTAGCATGGTATATTAAAACGAATATGGTCTTTTAATAAGCCTAGTCCTGAATTGTACATTTACTGTTTATGGGAATTTAACTTGATTTTTTAAATATGTTTTTAAAAATCTTTTGTAGAGATGGGGTCTGCTATGTCACCCAGGCTAGTCTCACTCTTGGCCTCAAACGATCCTCCCGCCTCAGCCTCGCAAAGCATAGGGATTACAGGTGTGAGCCACCGCAACGGACTGTTAGGGAAATGTTGCTGACGTTTCTAAGCTTCAGTTTCACACTCACATGGTGTGAATATTTCACAAGATTGTTTTAAAAATTAAAGATTAACCGTACACTAAAATGCTTATCTCCAGATCTGTTTTCTTCTATTTCCTTACACTTAAGGTTTATTTTGGCATCCTTTTACTCCCAAAATGTCTCCTTCAAGTTAACCACTCTCATTTTTCAAACTCCGAAGTCGAAACTTTCGGACCTACACAGAGTAACAGGCATAGTAGGGTAACGGGGTTGAGTTGTTTTATTTTTCTTTTGTCATTTTGCAAGCTTCTGTTAAACGGTTCACAATATTTCCGTATCACACACACAGCAACTCAGCCCACGCCTCAGAGCCGGCTATGACTCCAGGCGCGCTCCTCAAAGACGAAAGGGTCTCGACCCACCGCGTGGGGTGCTGATTGCTTGTGTTGCCGAGGGCACAGGTCCGGGCGATGCTGGAGACAGAAGGGGTCCTCAACCGGCGAGCCACTCAGCGTGTCTCAGGGTGTTACAACCCTCTTACGGTGTGTTGCCCCAGCCTCCCGAGTCGCGGGGAGCCACTGCCACCCGCCCACAAATGCCCGGAACTCACGCACAGGCCAGCTCTCCGGCACTGGGTGCCGGAAGGAGCCGTGGCCGTCCGGCAGGGGCCCGAGGGGCGACCTTCAGGTCCACTTCCGGGTGATCTCCAGGTGCCGCAGCTGGGGCTCCACGAGCCGGTGCGGGGGGAAGCGGGCGGCGCAGGCGGCTTTCAGGGCCTCGAAGGCCCGCGCCCTTCGCTCCGCGGCGTGGCCCCGCTCCTGCTCGGCCGTCATGTAAGGCGCGCTCAGCCAGTAGTGGTTCTCGGCCTCCACCTCCAGACGCCGCACCATGGCCTGCCGCGCC